GAAAAAAGCAAGTTTTATAACACTAGGTCCAGCTCAATCCCCTCATTCAATCATTCAATAAATATTTCGAGCTCCCATCATCACTGTTCTAGATTCTGTGAATTCAGCACTGAACAAAGCAGACAAATATCCCTGCTCTCATGGGGCTAGTATTCTCATGTGAAAGTGAAAGTCACTCAGTCCTGTCCGACTCTATGTGACCCCATGGTCCATACAGTCCATGGAATTCTCCATAATACTGAGAATTCTCTCAGAATACTGCAGTGGGTAGCCTATCCCTTCTCCAGCAGATCTTTCCCACTGAGGAATCAAACTGGGGTCTGCTGCATTGCAGGTGGATTCTTTACCAGATGAGCTACCAGGGAATCCCCAGTATTTTCATAGGGTGAAACAATAAATAAATGAATAAGAAGATACCAGGAGGAAGTAACTGATGTGATGAAAATAACTCAGGATATTAAAAATCTTCATGGGGTAAATAAATTCTACCCATGCAAGCAATTTTGTTTGTTTGTTTGTTTTCTGGAAAAGTACAGAGGCATTTAACTGTGGTTACTTTGTGAAGAGAGACTGGAGGCTTGGGGCTGGGAGAGAGAGACATTTTTCATTTTACACCTTTCTGTAACTTCAGCGTTTTCTTAAATGTGTCACTTTTATTGTTGTTTTTTTTTTAAGTGGCAACCAAGTATAGCTGGGTAGAGAAATCTGAGCCATGTTTTGTTTTCTTCCTCCATCCTCTTTGGATTTTTTTTCATTTCTTTTAAACAAGTATAAAAGCGGGAGCTATAATTATCGTTTTTTTCTGGGGCGGCTGAAGAATCTCGCCTGCCAGAGATGAAGGTAATCTAAAACACCCAACAGCGGGACGGCTCAGGGGTTGGCAATTTTTGTTAAGAATGTTGAACATGTGAGGGTTTTATTTCTAGGATAATCCTCCACCCCTTCCCCCACCACACACGATTTCTAGCGGTTACAAAACCCGGCGCCTAATCTGCGAGGTCATTCTCACGCGGAAGGCTTGACTCCTCAGAGTTGGATTCTTAAACCAGCTTTCCTCAACCAGAGGTGTCCTAGAAATTTTTAGTTTCCAGCTTCCACAAGACAGCTTCTCAGGGAAGCCGATTTGGGGAATAAAGTCTAGGGAAGTAATAAGCTGAGAAGAGGGGCTGCCCCGCCTCTCCCTCCGCCCTCCTCCTTAGAGCCTACCCGAGTGGAGGAGCGCACCTCGTTGCCATGGAGACCGCTGGGCGGCGAGGCGAGAAATTGTGCAAAAGGGAGACTCGACCGGGCTGAGCCCGGGCGGAGACTGGGATGGAGTTTGTGAGGAGGAGGAGGAGAAAACCCAGCGAAGCCTAACGACCTGGCTCTGCAAAAACAAAAACAACCGGAATGAGCCAATAACTGTGCAAAGGCCTCGCTGAGACCTTAACCGCCCGCCCCGCCCCCCCACCGGCGCCGCCCCCCCAAGCATCTTTCTTCCTTCTTTCCCTCTCTCCCTTCCCTTTCTTTTCTCTCCCTTCCCACTTTCCCTAAACATCTGCGTGTTTCCTTCAAGAGTGAAATAAAATCACACGTGGTGACTTAAAATTACACGTGTTCATTTTTATGTTAACGTGGTTAGTTTACAGATTTTGTTGTTGCTGGGATTTTTCTTTAACAATTCTATTTCGTTATAATCAGTCTCTTTTGTAATCTCATGGACGCAATCCTACGCACTGAAACAGTATCTTGAAAAGGGTCCATGGCACAGAACGGGTTAAGGATTCTTGGGCTAGAAGGCACTGGAGAGGGTAGAGGTCACCCAATAGTTTGATGGGGAGGGCAGTGCAGTATGAATTCTGTAAAATGATGACCTTTGAGCAGAGGGAGATTGCCAAGAGGAGGGGGAAACACAACTTTCTGGACTTGGGGAACAGCCTGTGCAAAGGCCCTGAGGTGGCAATGAGCCTGTTTGTTGAATGAACAGTGAGGAGGCAGGTATGATAGGACTTTGTGGGCCTCAAAGTTACCTGGGAAGCTTTGCAAATCCTGGTCCCCAAGTCCCAGGGATTCTGACTATAGGTCTGTGGCCACATCTGAGGACCTTCTATTTAATTTAACTTAAAAAACAAACAAACAAACTTGAAATCCTCAAAAGTGTAACTACTTATTTATTTTGGCTGACCTGCAGGGCACGTGGAACTTCCCCAACCAAGGATCGAACTTGTGCCCCTGGCATTGGAAGCACACCAATTGAGCCACCAGGGAAGTCCTAATTTATCTTATTTTAATGAACACTTTCGATCGCTAAAAAAAAATCAAAGCCATCTAACAGTATAGAGTGAAAAGTACATATGTCTGCCACTTCTGGGGGTCCCCCGTCCCCCTCCCCTCTCCCCATACACAGCCACTTTGGGCAATGTTTATACATCAGAGAAGGCAATGGCAACCCACTCCAGTACTCTTTCCTGAAAACTCCCATTGATGGAGGAGCCTGGTAGGCTGCAGTCCATGGGGTCGCACAGAGTCAGACACGACTGAAATGACTTAGCAGCAGCAGCATACATCCAAAGCTTCCCTGATAGCTCAATTGGTAAAGAATCTGCCTGCAATGCAGGAGACTCTGATTTCTGGGTTGGGAAGATCTGTAGGAGAAGGGATAGGCTACCCACTCCAACATTCTTGGGCTTCCCTCGTGGCTAAGCTGGTAAAGAATCCACCTGTAATACGGGAGACGTGTGTTCCGTCCCTGGGTTTGGAAGATCCCCTGCAGAAGGGATGGCTACCCACTCCAGTATTCTGGCCTGGAGAATTCCATGGGCTGTATAGTCCATGGGGTCACAAAGAGTCAGACATGACTGAGTGACTTTCACTCACTCAGTCATACATCCAAACAGAACATGCTCCCGTCTATGCCATTTGGCCTATGCATGTGAACATGCCTCCCGCTCCCCCCACACACACACCCCCACACTGAGTCCCACTCAGACTATTTCAGATTCAAATCCAGGTTCCCATCCTTCCTGGCCATGTGACCTTAAGCAAATGATTTTATTTTCTCAGCTATAAAATGGGGATGAGCATCGTATTACCTGTCTCATAATGCTTTGGTGATGATTTCATGAGTTAATTTGTATTAATAGAGTGATGTCTAGTATTAATACATAGCTAGTGCTCCATAACAAAGACGGCAATGAGTCGGACACGACTGAACGACTTCACTTTCACTTTTCACTTTCACGCATTGGGGAAGGAAATGGCAACCCACTCCAGTGTTCTTGCCTGGAGAATCCTATGGACGGGGGAGCCTGGTGGGCTGCCGTCTATGGGGTTGCACAGAGTCGGACACAACTGAAGCGACTTAGCAGCAGCAGCAGCAGTGCTCCATAAAAGGTGACTATCCTCAGCCACTTTTTTTTTCATAGCTGCTTAATATTTTACTGTAAGAACAGAGTTTCTACTGATGATCAGGTGGTGGTTGTTTGGTGGCTAAGTGAAGTGAAATCACTCAGTCGTGACCAACTCTTTGCGACCCCATGGACTGAGGAGCCTGTAGGCTACAGGCAAGAGTTTTTCAGGCAAGAGTACTGGAGTGGGTTGCTATTTCCTTCTCCAGGGGATCCTCCCAACCCAGGGATCGAACTCGGGTGTCCCACAATACAGGCAGACGCTTTACCGTCTGAGCCACCAGGGAACCGTGTCCAACTCTTTGCGACCCCTTGGACTCCAGGCACGGCCAGGCTTCCCTGTCCTTCACTATCTCCGGGAGTTTGCTCAGTCTCTTGTCCAGTGAAGCCTGTGACCCCATCCAACCATTCATTCATTCACTCAAAAGTATTCTAGAGTACCTACTGTGTGCCAATTTCCATCCTGGAACTGATACCAAGTTCTCTACCTGTCCGTCTGGGTCTATAGGTAGGAACTGCTGATACCAAAAGTCACGTGATTTTAAAATAGTAATACACAGTGCCAACGGCTTTCAGAGGGATTGCCCCATTTGCACGCCCACCTTCCGGGCGTGGCTGGAACCCGCACGTTTGGGATGGCAGGTTTGGGAACGGCCGCCTTTCCCGGGGAAAGCTGCTGACGTGGGCTTCGCTTCGGCGCGGGACGATCTGCTAGGAAGACGGGGCCCCAGAGAGGCCCGGGGCGCGGCCACACCCCTGGGGGGGGGAGGGGAATGAGGGCGTCCCGAAGGGAGTGGACGGCCCCCCTGTCAGTCTTCCCGAGTCCTGGAGTGTAAGATGAGAAGGGGGAAGGTGGGCCCATTCGTCGGGGCCGGCGAGGAGGAACTTCCTGCCCGCGCGCTCGCTCCTCGGCTGGGAGGCGGGAGGCGCGGCAAGGTCAGCCTTGCCTGTGGCGGCAGCCTGTCTAGGAGTGGGAGACCCTCCTGGGGAGCTGCGCCGCGGCCTCCGAGCGCCTCAGCCATATTGAATAGCCAAGGCTGAGCCGCCTTTGTTTGCGAAGTCCTCTCTCAAGTTCCAGGCGCATCCGTGGAACAGGAAGAACCACCGGACAGCCCCGTGCGCCCGCAGTTGGAGCCGGGACACCGCGTCTGCAGCTTGCCGTGGGCTGGGAGCCTCAGAACTGACCTCACCCCGGCTCACGTAAGGATCCTGGAAATTGATTCTCACTAATCCTTAGCGGGGAGCGGATCGAGACCGGACTTGTTGTAGAGAAAAGTGGGAGGTGAGACTCTCCGGGCAGCGCTGCAGGGAGAGCAACCTACCCCCCACCCCCACCCCCCGCCCCCGCCCAAGACTCGAGGCTACGAGTAGTTTGGGCTCTTTGCCCCCAGCCCAGATTTCACCCTGGAGATCTTAAAGACGCTCGAGAAAAGCCATGTTGGGGGTTGGTTCCCCTGGGGCTTCCTCCCGTCCCCCGACTGCCTCATCCTTTGGAGCGTCCCGGACGTCTGCAAAGACGTGGATCTGGACGTCCTCGTGGAAGCCTTGAAGCCCGTGGGGACCTTTAAGAAAATCGGCAAGGTGTTCCGCCGGGAGGAGGACTCCACGGTGGGGATGCTGCAGATTGGGGAAGACGTGGACTATCTGCTCATCCCCCGCGAGGTCCGGCTGGCCGGAGGCGTCTGGAGGGTCATCTCCAAGCCGGCCACCAAGGAGGCGGAATTTCGGGAACGGCTGATCCAGTTTCTGGAAGAAGAAGGCCGCACCCTGGAGGACGTGGCCCGCATCATCGAGAAGAGCACCCCGCATCCACCCCAGCCCCCCAGAAAGCCTAAGGAGCCCCGAGTGAGGAGGAGAGTCCAGCAGATGGTGACCCCACCCCCGCGGCTGGTCGTGGGCACTTATGACAGCAGTAACGCCAGTGACAGCGAGTTCAGCGACTTCGAGACTTCCAGGAACAAGGCTGACAAGGGCCACAAAGGCGCCGGCAGTGGCAGGAAGGTGCGCAAAATGCCCGTCAGTTACCTGGGCAGCAAGTTCCTCGGGAGCGACCTGGAGAGCGAGGATGATGAGGAACTGGTGGAGGCCTTCCTCCGGCGAGGGGAGAAGAAAGCCAGCGCGCCGCCTCCCCGCCGACGGGTGAACCTGCCCGTGCCCATGTTTGACGACAGCCCGGGACCCCAGCAGTCCAAAGCGGACAGGTGGCGGGAGTGTGTCAGCCAGGTGTCCTGGGGGAAGCTGAAGCGGAGGGTGAAGGGCTGGGCACCGAAGTCCAGCCCCGGGGTGGGCGAGGCCAGGCAGGTCTCTACCAGGATGGAGAGGGACAGCGCATCGGTGCCAGGCAGCGCCAGCCTGGGGTGTAACGTGGGAAATGCACGAGATGGGCGGGTGCCTGAGACCCCTCCAAGGCGATGGAGGCCCCAGATCAACTGGGCTTCCTTCAGACGTCGCAGGAGGGAGGAAACAGCATCCAGAGCTCAGGGGGGAGAGGCTGCAGATGAGCAGAGGGTGGAGGCTGTAAATAATCAGAGGGCGGAAGCCATAGATAATCAGAGGGTGGAGGCTGTAGGTAATCAGAGGGGGGAGGCAGTAGATAATCAGAGAGCAGGGCCCATAGCTGTCCAGGAGGCCGAGGCTGTGGATAATCAGAGAGCAGATGCCCTGGCTGTCCCGGGAGCAGAGGCCATACCTGTCCAAGGGGTAGAGGCCCTGGACAATCAGAGGGCAGAGGCCCCGGCTGACCGGAGGGCAGAAGCTGCGGAGGATCCGAGGGCAGAGGTCCCGGTTGTCCAGGGAGCAGAGGCCAGACCTGATGGGGTAGAAGCTGGATCAGTCCAGAGGGCAGAAGCTGCCTGTAATCAGAGGGCCGAGACCCCGGCTGTCCAGGAGGCTGAATCCTCAGCTGCCGGAAGGGCCACAGGGGCCACCGCAGGAGCTCGAACCCGGAAACCGGTCAAGACAGTGAGGTTCCAGACCCCTGGACGTTTTTCATGGTTTCGGAAGCGCCAGAGAGCCTTCTGGCACACTCCCCGGTTGCCCACGCTACCCAAGAGAGTCCCCAGGGCAGGCGAAGCCAGGAGCCTCAGGGTCCTGCGGGCCGAGGCCAGAGCAGAGGCAGAGCATGAAGAGCAAGAGGACCAGCTGTGAGGCGAGGGCAGGGGGCCGCGGAGGACCCCAGCCCCGCCACGGTGCCGGTCACTCACGGCCCGTCTCTGACTCTCCACGCCTGAAAACGGAGGTGGAGTGAGGCCCCGGCAGTGCCTCTCACGTCCCTACCGAATGCCCCTTTTTATTAAAATTGTATTTTCTATGCATTGATTTTTTTCCCCCCTATCTTTCTTTTTCTTTTTTCCCACATGGCTTGTGGGATCTTAGTTTCCTGACCAGGGATTGAACCCAGGTCTCCCCAGTGGTGAAAGCGCTGCGTCCTAACCACTGGACTGCCGGGGAATTCCCTACGCATTGATTTTTTTTTTTTTTTAATATAGACTCTTTATAGTAACCCAAGGAATGTAACGAAAGAAACCCATACAATGGAGTTGCATCCCCCATGATTTTAACTTCCTCAAATGCAACTCGAGGTGCTCAGCTGGAAAAGGGAGCGAAGCAAAGGAGAAATCCCTTCCTCTTCCCCCTTTTCTTCCCCCTTTCGCACACTTGCACTCACCGCCTCCTGGAACTGGAAAAGAGGGCGCAGGTCAACATGCAAATAAAAATATTTACCAACTTATTTCTTGGCTCTGGCTTGGCAACTGAAAAATGCTGCGGGGTGATTTTGTCACAGCCTTGTGTCCCCTTTACTCCCACCCTCCGTGATGCTGACCCGTGTTTAAGTCACTTTTCCTGCCATGCCCACACCCCTGGGTTCTGCAGGCTTGGTGGGTCCAGGTCCTGCAGTTCACAGGCTTCATCCCTTCTTGGTTACCGCGTACAGAAGAATAATTTGGGAAACATGTCCCAAGTGCGGATTCAGGGGCCCTTCACATCAAGAGCTGTGAATTGCTAGAGCAGGCTGTGCGGCCCAAGAATCTGGGGCAGCTTGGTCACTGGATATATTCGAGAAAAATCATTGCAATAGGAACGGGCCAAAGAAGTGGATTGTGGTGTGGTAGTGAGCAGTGTATCAAGTTGCTACAGTGAGCTTATATTCGGGTTGCTACACACCCTGGGAGCTGGGGGACTTCTCTCTGTATTGTCTTGTGTCCCCTAACCCATCCTAACCCTGGGGAAAACAGACAGCAAATAACCATGCCCCAGCCTCGATAGAGGCGGGATAAAGGGAAATTCTTGGAGGTAGGTTTTAAAGCCCAGCTGGGTCCTCCTGATAGGCTGCAGTCCTGGCCTGGCCTTCTTAGACATAATTCAGGAGGTCTGTAGGTCTGGGGATGGTGATTGCAGCCATGAAATTATAAGACGCTTACTCCTTGGAAGGAAAGTTATGACCAACCTAGATACCATATTAAAAAGCAGAGACATTACTTAGCCAACAAAGGTCCTTCTAGTCAGGGCTATGGTTTTTCCAGTGGTCATGTATGAATGTGAGAGTTGGACTGTGAAGAAAGCTGAGTGCCGAAAAATTGATGCTTTTGAACTGTGGTGTTGGACAAGACTCTTGAGAGTCCCTTGGACTGCAAGGAGATCCAACCAGTCCATCCTAAAGGAGATCAGTCCTGGGTGTTCGTTGGAGGGACTGATGCTGAAGCTGAAACTCCAATACTTTGGCCACCTCATGAGAAGAGTTGACTCATTGGAAAAGACCCTGATGCTGGGAGGGATTGGAGGCAGGAGAAGGGGACGACAGAGGATGAGATGGCTGGATGGCATCACTGACTCGATGGACATGAGTTTGAGTAAACTCCGGGAGTTGGTGATGGACAGGGAGGCCTGGCATGCGATTCATGGGGTCGCAGAGAGTCAGACACGACTGAGCGACTGAACTGACTGTAAGTCTGGGGTGGGCCTGAGAATATGCATTGCTAAGAAGTTCCCAGGAGATGTGGATGCAGTTTGTCTCAGGACCTTACTTTGCAGCTTTACTGGAAAGTTGGTTTTGGGCTGCCTGGCGTTGAGAAAACAGGAGGAACTTCAAGGCGGTGGACCCCAAGAAGGCTCATTGTGCGCATGATTTAAGCCATTGGTCTTAGAGCGCCTCCTAGTGGATGAATAGACCACGGCCGCGCTCGCCTGGGTTGACGCTTCCTCCGCAGGCCTAGTTCTCAGCCGGGCGGAGCGTGCTGTGTGGGGCGGGGCTTCGTGGGCTCCGGGTTTTAGGGAACTTAACAGTGGGAAAGGCTTATCGCTTTCTGGCTTCTCCCTCCGGGCCGTTCCAGGTCCAGAAGTTATTCCCGAGAATCTCAGGACGTCCCTCTCTCCGTTTGAGCCAACCGAGGGGCGGGACAGCTTCCTCCTAGGGGTCCCAGGACCGGGAAGGGGACACGCTCCCGGCATGTCTGCACGCTCCGACTCCAGGGACCTCGCAGAGTTCACAATCAACTCCAGTCACGTGGAATGTAATAGACTACCAACCCTGTGAAGGCAGGTGGCCTGTCTAGAGACATGGTCTCCCCTATGCCCAGCAGGGAATCCTGGCACCCGAGGCCTCAAGGGTTACACATGAATAAACCCCAATCTCCACAGTGGCTTGGGGCTTTTGCCCAGGATGTTCTGCCTCCTGAGTGCGCTTCCACCGGGCATCCTCCCGCCTCACCCCTTCCCTCCAACGCCCAGGGACTGTCAGCCCACGGGAGGTGGGTAGGGGAGAGCTGGTGGGACATCTAGGGGGAGCCACAGACCTGTGGGAGTTGCACTGCTTGGTACTGCAGAGAAAAGCCAACACACCGTATGTGAATTGTCCCAAATTGAAAGTGTGGCAAAGAAGTCCCATTGTTTGAAAACACTGCAGATCGAGTGACAGATTCAGCCTGTGGACACCAGCAGGAGGCCTTGGCGCTGAGAAACTAGTGCGTTTGTACCAGCTGCACTTCAGATGGGCAGGGTCTTTCCCTCTCCTCCTTCTTCTCCTCCCCTGCTCCTGGTCCCATGGTCGCCACCTCTCCCTTCCCCTCCCTCACCTTTTCTCCACTCCTCCAGGGGCACACCCCCCCTGCCTCTCAGGCTTCTCTTCCTGGAATCCTCTCTGCCTCCAACAGGAGGTTCAGCCTCCTGGCTCAGCTGCACCCTGACACTCTCCTTGTTCGTTGGAACCTCCATCACACAGGGCAGCCCCCATCAGATTGGGATGAGGAACAGAGGCTCACAGACCCTGGCCAGAAGCATGAGTCTGGAAGGGATCGGGGCTCCACGGAGAACTAGAAAGAACGCTCCGGCACTGCTGGCCTCCCCCCGTGCCCGGTGTCCACGGACACACTCGCCCCTGTGCTAAGCCGGGAAACCCAGAGCCAAGCCGCCTGGGTGGGCCCTGAGACCGTCCCGTCACCTGGGGCTGCTGCCTCCGCGGGCGCTCATTACACCTTACATTCTTCTTGCATCAGGATCGCTCGCGCCACCTGCAAAGCAGGGACTGAAAGGACCAGAGAGCGAGCGGAGGGAGGCGCGCAGAGAAGAGCTGGCAGTGCATGATGCGACCGGAGTCGCCTCCGCGGCGGGGAGGGCGGAGGACCCTCGGAGCTGGGGCCGCACCGGCAGCTGCAGCCTCGCCCCCTCGGGGCCCATGGGGTGCAGCCTCCTGCCCCAACCCGTCTTCTTACCACGTGCCGACTTGGAGGCCGCGGGCGGCTGAGCCCTGGGCCGGCCTCGGCCTGCGTCCCGGCTCCCGCGCGCTCCTTCCTGCTCTTGCTTCCCGCCGCTTCCTCCTGGGTTTTCGTCTCGGGAGGGCGCCCCTCCAGCCTCGGCCGCCGCTCCCCTCCTCTCGGGCTTTGCGGGTCCCTGACGGGGCGGGAGCTGAAGCCGCCTGCTCGACCCAGGGCCCTGCAGGCCGCGCGGGCCCGCTTGGGCCAGGGGTTTCCTGGCCGCCGGGTCCTCGGACTCGGACTCCTCGCTCTCCGCGCCCTCGAAGGCCTCCTCCGAGCCTGTGTCCCAAACCCCCTCCGACGCCTCCTCCGAGCCTGTGTCCCAAACCCCCTTCGACGCCTCCTCCGACTACCGGCCTGCAGCGCCAAGACCTCCCCCAGGTGGCCTTTGGAGAATATCGACCTCCCGCCCTCCCAGGCCTTTTCCTTTTTTCCCCTCCATCACCTCAGCCACGTCCTAGGTCTCCGGGAGCGCCGCGAGCTCCAGCAGCCCCTCCCCCATCTTCCTCCTCATCCCGCGCCCCCCAGCTCCCCAGGGGGCCCCGGGGAGCCTTCTTCCCCTTGGAGGGGGTCTGGGGCTCAGCCCTGGTGGAGACGCAGTCATTCCAGCAGGTGCTGTCGTTGGCCTTCCTCGGGACCTCGGTGGCCACCTGGCGGGCTGCCTCCTGCACCTTCACGCGGTTCGGAGGTGTTCTCGGCCATGACAGACAAGACCTGGAGCAGGGTCTCTTGTCTTCCTTGTCCTTCAGCCCAGCGACTCCATCACAGAAGCCATTTTCAACACCTCGTCCTGGGCAGAGGAGTCTGTGTAAGCCACAATGGCCACAAACTCAGGATTGTCCACCCTCTCTTTTTCTTGATCCCCGTTTTCCTGGGACTCGCTTTGGGAGGCGTCCTTGTCCGTGATCTCCTCATCCGACTCGTCTCCCACTGCCAGTATGGCCGATCAGTCGACCCCTCCCTGGGCGTGGGGTGGGGAGTGGGGGTGAGGGGAAATCTTTCCTCTTCTTGGCTTTGTCCGTCACCGTTGCCAGGGCCAAGAACTCAGGGAGGACCTTGCCCGTCATCTCCTTGGCTCTGGAGGGCCCACTACCTAAGTAACTCCTCTTCGGCGGCCTGCAGCATGCTATGACCCTCATCCCCGCTTAGGTCCTCCCGGTCCATCTCCTGGATCACGAGCCCCAGGCTCTCCTCAGAAGAGTCTTCGGACTCTCGCTTTCCCGCTGTGGATGGCCGCCCTCCAGAGTCCCTCTTCTTGCCCTTCTGGGTCCATCTGCTGCCTCTGGTTCCGTTTCGCGACCTCGATGACCGGATGTTCTAGCATCTTTGGCTGCACCAGGAGCGAGGTCAGCTTTCCTGACCTCCGGCTCCGATCCGCAGGCCTGGGTCTCCAAAGCGGGAAGGGTGGACCTGTCCCCGGAGACCCTGGCCACTGCCGCCTCGCGGGGAGGGGAGAAGTTCATATAGCAGCGACCGTCTCATCTGCCTCAGGACCCTCGTGTCCGACGCGCTTTCCTTGCACAGAACCCTCCAGACGCCGTCCCTGCCCGGATCTACCTGGGGATGGCGCCATGATTAATGTTCTCCACAAACTTCATCAAGGTGGCCTTGGCCTTCTCGACCCTCATGGCCCTGGCGCTCCTCAGCCCGAACGTGCCCTGGGGCAGGAAGACTGGCTGCAGGACGGCTTGGATGGCCGCCGGCTCCACGTTCTCCGGGAGGCCCCGTGCACGTCCAGGGCCAGCCCCCTGCACCAGTCCCCCCGGAGGGCCCGTGGCCACGGTGCCGCCTCTGGCGCTGATCGCGGGGCAGGAGGGAGACCGAGGCGCACGTGGGCTGCGGGGCCCTGGGCAAATGCCACCCTGGAACAGCGCCGCAGGGCCTGGAGTTCAGATCCAGGTGAACGTGGCCAGGTTCGGGCTCCTGCTGCTCCCGGGCGGCTGACCCGGCGGCCCTTCCCGAGGCTCTCTCCTCATGGGGGTCCTAGCACCCACAGGGAGTTTGCGTGGCAAATCCAGGGGTGCCACCGGCCCCTCCGCTCCGCCTTTTGTGCCTGACCGAGGCGGGGTGACACGGCGGCGCCCGGGCCAGGTGCTGGGGAGGGCGGCGCGGTTGGCACCTAGAGCGGCTGGGAGAGGCGCGTCCCCTTCGCCCAGCCGCGGCCACGTCTGGCCGTGCGCCCTTCGCTCAGCCTGCAGTTCTGCGGGGAGGCGGCTGCTCGGCCCTGCGCCTGCGCACACAGGCTCGCCCCTGCTCCCAGCTGGGCCTCGTCACCATGGCAACGCCAGGGCTGCTGTCTGGGTCGCAGTTGCTGGGGTCTGAAGGGATCCAGCTCTAGACCAGCCCAAGCAAAGGAAGACTCTGGGGGTTGAGCTCACCATCAGTGATGAGCCCCCCCCAAAGGCCATATTCACAGGGGGCGAGACAGCAGTTAGGGAGACCCGCGATCTCCTTCAGAGGTAGACGCTTCTAGCCCTCCACCGTGTACAGGTGGCGTTCAGGCTGCAGAGACCTAGATCAAGGGCCTCTGGCCGCCCACGGTGGAACGAGGACTCACTCTTGGGGTGCAAGCCACGCTCAGAGTTTTCGGGCCTCACTCGGTGGGAATCGGCTTCAGTAAGGATACACAGGCCTCAGCTGCGAGGTGCTGGCACCCTTTAGGGTCAACAACCCTCACTGATGGGGTTTGGCCTCGCTCAGTGAAGCCTCGCTCTTACGGATGTTTCTGTAGCCAGTATACCTACTATTAACTGTGTGTTTTTGCATATGGTTCGTGTGTGGGTGTAATCAGCAGTGAGATTAGACATCACTTCCGGAAAAGACCTTGATCCTGACTTGGTCCACAGGCTGGGATGGGTGAATGTCAGAGCTACCCCGAACACACTTCCCCTTCATCATCCTTGCTAACCCTCACCCCAACTCTACATAAATTATGGGCTGTGGCCCAGCCATTGGGCTTCTGCTGCTGCCCTCGCTGTGACTCTGGCAAGCTTCCTGGGCTTCTCTACACCTCAGTTTGCTCCTCTGTGAAATGGCCATAACCATTAACCCTACTCATAGGATCCTTGGGCTTCTCTGGTGGCTCAGATGTTAAAGAATCTGCCTGTAACATGGGAGAGCCAGGTTTGATCCCTGGGTTGGAAAGACCCCCTGGAGGATGGAATGGCAACCCATTCCAGTATTCTTGCCTGGGAAATCCCATGGACAGAGGAACCTGGTGGGCTACACTCCATAGGGTGGCAAAGAGTCAGAGGCGACTGAGCGACTAACACTTTCACTTTTCACTTTCATAGGACCCTAATGGGGATTAAATGGGATGATCCCCGAAAGCCCTTGGAACAGAGGTTGGCCCAGAGCTGGTGCTCCCTGAAAGATGGCAGTTGGAATTCATTCTTTCTTGACCCTTTATACAATCATTTAATATAAATATATACATTTAATTGTCAAATAAATGTATAAATAAAGAAGGAAATTTTTAAAAAAGAAACCAAAACACTTTGTTTTTGTTGTTTTTACTGTAGGAAGAGAGTTTATTGCAAGGTTACCATGGCAACTGGTTCTAGGGCAAACCAAACTGCTTACTCACTCTCCTACCTACCCCCCAGCTTTCATTTTCCCTGCTTCTCCCTTTTCCTTTCCTTTCCACCAAATGGATGTCACTCTTCTCTCTAGAGCAGTGGTCTGAAAGAAATATAATGCGAGCCCCCAAGGCAAGCCACATGTGTAATATGTAAGTTTGCTAACAGCTACCTTCAATACATAAAAACCAGGGGAAATGAATTTTAGGAATAGATTTTCATTTATTTACATTATTCTTTATTTACAACAGCCAAATGTGGGAGCAACTTAAGTGTCCATTAACAGATGAATGGATAAAATGGATAAACAAGATTCCTTCATCTTTATTGTATATTATATATAGTATTTACACATGTATTTATATATAAAGAAGATTTTATATATATATGCATATATATATATATGGTTGAGTAATATTCCACTAAATATAATTGAATTTATTATTTAAAGATCCATTTTAAAAAGTAAAAAATCTTGCCGTTTGGTATAACACTGATGGACCTAGAAGGTATTGTGCTGAGCAAAATAAGTCAGAGGAAAACAAATACTATATTATTTTGCTTATATGTGGAATCTAAAAACAAACAAACAAATGAACAAACATAACAAAACAGAAACAGTTATAGATACAGAAAACAAACCAGTGGTTGTCAGGTGGTGGTGGTAGGTGTGAAGAAATAGAAATTAAGATTCAGAGGCAAGTCCCTGAGGTATATTTCAGGAGTTTCTATTAACAGCAGTTTGACCTCCGGAGGGCAGTTTGCAAACGTGATCTGGGCACCTGAAGTGTTTAGCGCCCCATCTGGGAAGCCTGTGTGTAGGCTGCCAGGAACAGTCATGAACTTTGAACTGATCCACATCTTCCCCTACTTTTGGGGATCCCACCAGGCATTCTCACCTATTAAAAAAAAATCAATTCACAGTGATCTCAGCTCAGAACCTAACTCCATGTAACACACAAACACACAGCATCGTTTTAAAAGTGGTTTTCACCACAATGAGGTACCATTACACACCAGTCAGGATGGCTGCTATCCACAAGTCTACAAGCAATAAATGCTGGAGAGGGTGTGGAGAGAAGGGAACCCTCTTACACTGTTGGTGGGAATGCAAATTAGTACAGCCACTATGGAAAACAGTGTGGAGATTTCTTAAAAAGCTGGAAATAGAACTGCCATATGACCCAGCAATCCCACTTCTGGGCATACACACCAAGGAAACCAGATCTGAAAGAGACACATGCACCCCAATGTTCATCGCAGCACTGTTTATAATAGCCAGGACATGGAAGCAACCTAGATGCCCATCAGCAGAAGAATGGATGAGGAAGCTGTGGTACATATACACCATGGAATATTACTCAGCCATTAAAAAGAATTCATTTGAATCAGTTCTAATGAGATGGATGAAACTGGAGCCCATTATACAGAGCGAAGTAAGCCAGAAAGATAAAGACCATTACAGTATACTAACACATATATATGGAATTTAGAAAGATGGTAACGATAACCCTATGTGCAAAACAGAAAAAGAGACTCCGATGTATAGAACAGACTTGTGGACTCTGGGAGAAGGCGAGGGTGGGATGTTTCAAGAGAACAGCATCGAAACACGTATATTATCTAGGGTGAAACAGATCACCAGCCCAGGTTGGGTGCATGAGACAAGTGCTCAGGCCTGGTGCACTGGGAAGACCCAGAGGGTTCGGGTGGAGAGGGAGGTGGGAGGGGGGACCGGGATGGGGAATACATGTAAATCCATGGCTAATTCATTTCATGTATGACAAAAACCACTGCAATTATGTAAAGTAATTAGCCTCCAACTAATAAAAATAAATGAAAAAAAAAAAAGTGGTTTTCATCACCACTGACTATGGCAGCTTCTATTCTAGGGTCCCCACCATCCTTCTTGCATAATTTCAATTTCTCTTCGTTAAGAATAAAAGCCCACATTTATTCACGAAAGACAGGTGCAATGGATCTTTGTTCTATTTTCTGGCCGCACTGTTCCGCAGATGGAATTCTCCCTCATTTCTCTCCTGATCAAAGTGAGCCAGAGCTGAGTGGGAACATGGTCCCAGAAGCCGAGTAGAAAATTAGAGAGCAAGGGCCAGCTAGGCAGGGCACTGGGAACCCCAATGTCCTGCCTAGCCCCTCTCTGGATATCTGTCCTGGAATTAGGGTGCTCTGTTGGACAGAGATGGGACCCATGACTGGCCTAGCCACTGCCTCCAAGCTGGAAATAAAGAAAAAAGAGAGAGAGAGAGTTTATCAAATGTTCTTCAAAATTCTTCCCACTCCCTGTGTTTGAGGACAAACACTGAGCCTGCTTGTTAAGAAGGACTACTAGTTGATGCAGAGGATGAGATGGTTAGATAGCATCACCAACTCAATGGACATGAGTTTGAGCAAACTCCGGGAGATGGGAGGACAGGGAAGGCTGGCGTGCTGCAGTCCCTGGGGTCTCAAAGACTCAGGTACAAGTCAGCCGCTGAACAACATTAGCAGCACTATTGGAGCAGAGGGTCTCAAATTGTGGTCCTGGGACCCCTAAGGATTCTGCAAGGACCTTTCGGGGGTCCATGAGACCAACACCATTTGCATAATACTGTTCAAACATTATCTGTCTTTTTCACTCACATTCTCTCACGAGTGTTCAGTGGAATTTTTCAGAGGCAACAGCACATGAGATATTGCAGCTGAACAAATGCAGAAGCAGGTATGAGAAATCAATTTCTGTTGAGTCAGACAGTAAAGAGATTTCCCAAAAGATAAAAACAATGCCACTCTTCTCAATTTGTTTTTGTTTTGGAAAATACAGCTATACATATGTTATTTGGGTGAACATGTAACATATGTTTGCTAGCGCTATTTTTAAACAAGTTCATAAGTAAATACTTCTAATTGCTTAGTTGACATTCTTCCAATGGTAAATATCGACAGATTGAACCCACAGGAACAAAAGCTCTTTGGGGTCCTTGAATTTTTTAATAATGTAAGACGTCTTGAGACCAAGCAATTCCAGAACCACTGAGTTGGAGATTATAACAAAAGGCACCCTAGGGCCCTCAGATAAGAAAAAGGTGATTGGCGGTGTTTCTCCTGCAGGTTATAAATGATTCATGGGAATGAAGTTCACTGCTTGTCTGTCCCCACTCTGTAGCCTTTCTGCTCCTCTTTCTTCAATCTCTCCCTCCAGTGGTTACCAGGGAAACCACAACAGCAGATCCTCAAAGCAAAATTCATTTCACTGCCTTGTGTCTGAGTCTCAGTGGCTGGTGGCATGCCTTTCAGGACATCTAGATCCAAGGAACTGTCAACTCCACCTGCCTCCGTGTCTTTAAAATGACATCTGATCCTCACCCCCTTCTCCCATTCCTCCATCACCCTGGACAACTTTGTTTTGTACATTTTCATGTCTGTCCCTTTATTTCCATGTGTTCTTGCAAACTGTGCATTGCTGGTTGGGGGCGTTTATGATGCACTTGCACGATTCCTTGTATGGTATCCATCTCCATTTGTTTCTCATTCTTTCAATTTTTTATTTTATTCTGGAGTATGGTTGACTAACAATGTGATAGTTTCAGATGTACAGCAAAGTGATTCATATATATTCTTTTTCAAATTCTTTTCCCATTTAGGTTGTTACATAATATTGAGCAGAGTTCCCTGTGTTATACAGTAGTGGTTATCTATTTTATTTTATTTTTGCCATGCTACGTGGCATGTGGAATCTTAGTTCCCAGACCGGAAATTGAACCTGCACCCCCTGCAATGGAAGCTCTGGGTCTTAACCATTGGGCCACCAGCGAAGTCCCAGTTATCCAATTTAAATATAGCAGTGTCTACAGGTCAATCCAAAACTCCCTAATGTTACCCACTTTCTAATCACTGTTGGTAAAGTGTCTTAGAGCAATACCAGTTACGTATCTTATCTGTAATTTTACCTGCTGAGCAGGGCTGCAAGATGGTCATTCATCACATTTTACCTTTTTCCTGTCCACTCCTCCAAGAAGAGACACTGATGACAGTTTTAAAGCAAGGTAACAAGTTCTTTGATCCTCATCTAGGAGTGGGGTTGTTCACATTCCCTTTTCTTGAATCTGACCCTGGACAAGCTTGTGACTGCCTCAACAGGTACGGCAAAAATGATGCTGTGTCTCCCAAGGCCAAATATAAGGCTTTTGCCCAGTTCTCTTGGAATATTTGCTCTTGAAACCTCCTTCCCAGGACATTCCTGCTTGAAGCATAAACGCCATGCTGTGAGGAAGCCCAACTCACATAAAGAGACCAATGTATGTGTTCAAGTCAATATCTCCAGCTAAGCGCAGTCTTCAGCTCATCCCAGATGGGGTACCAGACATGACTGATGAAGCTTCTGGCTGATTCCAGACCTTAGTCATTACAGCCACCCCAGCTGAGGCACCAGACATTGCAAAACTGAAAAACTCCACCCCAGGGTGCTTTTTCATCATGCCGACCTACAGACTCCATGAACATAACAAAACAGTTTGCGTTTTATGACACTGAGTTTAGTGTGGTTTGTGTATGTGAGTGTGTGTAGTGGCTCAGTCATGTCCAGCTCTTTGTGACACCAGGGACTGTAGCCTGCCAGGTTTCTCTGTCCAAGGGATTCTCCAGGCAAGAAAACTGGAGTGGGTTGCCATTCCCTTTTTCTAGGGATCTTCCTAACCCAGGGATTGAACCTGGCCTCGCACATTGCAGGCAGATTCTTTACCCCCTGAACGACCAGGGAAACCCTGGGGAGGTTGGTTATGCAGCAAAAAGTAGCCAGCACGCACCTGTCCCATCCTTACTACTTTGGGCTGGTAACTAACTTCTCCATGCCTCCATTCATGTCCCTGAAAATGGGGATCACGTTCTCTTGCCATCATCAGGAAGATAGGAGAGGTTGTGGCCCAGCAACCCCCTCCCCCCGCCAGCAGCCCTCAGCAAGTCTTACTGAGGTTATGAATCAGCAGCCAGTCGCTTCCAGATCACCCACACCTTACCGTGATCGCAATGGGGGCAGCTTATGCAGAGACCACTGCGAGCCCCAATACCGAGTCCCCATTCTAGCACCTCGGGTCCCTAACATTCTGCACCAGTTCATCCTGGCCACTTCCCCAGCCCTCACTCCTCTGCGTCCAGTTTTCCCCTCTCCTCTCCCTCCGGAGTTTGGGGACACAGCAAGGAACGGGTCCATCCAGGGACTCTGGAGTCACACGGACCTGACTTGAGTCAAACCAGACAGCCTGGGTTCATATTCCAGCTCTGGGTGACTCTGAGCAAGTCATCTACTTTCTCTGAATCTGTTTTCCCATCTGTAAAATGTGTACAATAAAGCGCCTACACTTGCGTTTAAATAATCAGCGCGCATGTATTGACATCTATAAATAACATCGTTCTTGCTGTTAGTGTTGAGCCCCACCCAGCCCCCTACATCGGAGCTGAATCTATTTGAGCACATTATTTCGCTCACGCTCTTGAGCTCTGGGAAGGCTCCGTCGCAGGTGCGTCAAGTAGCAGTCCTGCAGCGCCTCCTGGTGGTCAATTCGGGAGCTACAGCCCTCTCCGGCAGACTCTCCAACCGGCTCACGTGGCACCGTCAGACCTTCACCTACTGCTCCCAGAGCCTCCACTATTCCCTCTCCGCGGTTCTACCACCTGGAACATCCCTGAGAGGTGGGGAGACTGTTGAGGGAGGGCGTCCCAGGCCGGATACTTGCGACTTCAGGTTCGGACATTAGATCTATCTCCCCGCCTCTCCCTCCAGACTGAAAGGGCTGGTGTTGGAGGTTTGCTCGATTCAAGGTGTGACACCAGGCTCAGGTCAGCCCGTGCCACAATCGCATGATCACACACTCACAAAACACTTACACACTGGCTCACACACTCACACCTGCGTCACACTAACACTGATACGCACTTGGACTGAGCCTACATACATACCCACACACGCGCACGCTCACACACACACAATGTGCAAACACCCCGAGACTCGCCCCACCTACACCCACGGAGAGACACACCCAGTCCTCACAAGTGAAACACACAGATAAACTACATACGCCTCAGCCCCAAAAAGAAACACCCACATCCGCAACTATAAGCACGTGAACAAAATCAAATCCATAAGGAGACCTCCAGGCAGGCTCCCCTGACCCAGCGACCCCCGCCCCTCGCGCACTTTCAACCCCTCCACCCCATAGGAGTTGGGAGGGTCGCGCCTGCCCATGGACGCACAGAGCCCTCCCCGAGGGCCCCGCTAGGTTATCCTTCGGGCTCACCAGGTTCAACCCGACCTGCCCTGGGGCGCAGGGAGCTCGGACCCCGTGGGCTGAAGGGGCGCTACCACCAACCGGAACTGTGTGTGGGGACACTGGGCTGGAGATTCGGTCAGGTCCGTAGGCGCGTGTCAGGGAGTCCCACCCAGCACCCCCGCGCCCACCCCGCGCGCCCTGAGACTCCCAGACTGGGGACGACTCCAAGCTGAGGGGGCGGGTGGGGGTGGGGAGAACGCCTGCCTTAAACCAGGAACCCCGCTGGGTCTCCAGTTAAGGTCCTGGGGGAATGTATGTGAAAGGAAGGAAAGAAGACAGGGAGATCGGAAGGAGGGAGGGAGAGGGGGAAGAAAGATCTTTAAGATAGAAACCTTTGGTCCTTCTTTCTTCTGTGAGCCATGTCTCCATATGCCCACCAGAGGGAGCTCTGACGCAGCAAATCCCTAAAGCATCGTCTCCTCTTCTCTCCAGACAAAAAGACATTTAGGACAGTACTGAGGAGGAGGAGGATTAGTACCAATATCCGCAACGTAAAGCCCTACTGCACCCCAGGACGTGTGCGAAGCCCTATACGTGCCTAACTCAACACATTAGCTCAAAGTATCCCACAAAGGAGGAAAGTGCGGCTCAAAGATGTTGTTTAAGTCTCCCAGCTTCACACAGCGCCTAAACTGCAGAGAAACTTCCAGCTCTGGTCCTGGTGACCCAGCAGCTCCTTGGTCACATCCCTGGCATAATCAGCTCACAATTCCCCGTGGACTTGGCCTTGCAGCTTTCCCCACTCAGCCACACTTCACTCCATCAGCTCTTCTGGTCTCCTGTTCTCATGCTGCCGCCGAGGTTTTTGTACACCAAACCCTTCAAAAGCACTGTTTCCCTGCCCCTACTTCACAGAGAGTCACCTTCTCCCTTCAGACTCAGGTCAATGTCACCTATTTTGGGAAGTGGGTCCCGATCCAGGATCAGCTCCAGCTATTTCGACCCTCCTCCCCTGAGGATCCAGCCTTTTCGTTTCTAGCACTCACTTCCGTATGTGATCACGGAGGCTCTGAGCTCCAGGAGACAGAGCCCATCTTAATCATCGTTGTTCCCAGTGACCTGTACAGGTGGGTCCTAGAAGAGACTAGAGGAACACTGAATGAATGAATGAATGAATGAATGAAGTCTCCAGGCGGGAATGACCAGTGAGCAGCTAAATGGGTGAATGCTCTTCTCCCTATCAGGACTCCAGAGATTCTCCAACAAATACCCACAGCCAAAGAAAAGATCCCGTACTCCCTTTCAGGCCCTTCCCAATCCAGGTACTGAGTCTCACTACTGCCCCTAATCCCACTGGGACAGAATCTCCTGCTTTCCAGCCTAGTGTCCACACACATCGCCCTAACACCTCCAACCCCTATCTCCTAAGTGATTCATGTCCATTTCTCTTTGTGGCATCCACTCCCTCACCTGGAGTGATCCAGGTGGTACCTGTGGGGCTCACGAATCGTCATTCACTGAAACCTGGCCAATCAAAGCTCTCAGTCCCTCTCCAGTCACTGTGATTGGTGCAGAGGCAGGCACGTGACCCAGCCGACCCAATGGGAGCTGGCCATGAGTCTTCTGCTGAATAAACGGAAGTAGAGGCCCTGGAACCAGCCAGACGTGAAGCTAATTCAGCCTGGACTTTGTAGTGACATGAGCCACTGAAGTCCCTTTTCAGCACATCCCAGGACATATTTGGTACTGGAAACCCAGTGTTTTGTGTCATCAGCTTCCCTACAGCATTCTCCAAGGGTCCCAAGAGGACGGGGCATAGGGGCCTCTCAGGGCCCTGCCAAACATTACCTCCGCTCCAAGGGCTGGGGTAGGACTTGAGGGGACTCGGAAAGGGTCTTCCTGATTTCTCAGACCCGGCACTCTCACTTGCCGTAGCTTCCTGAGGCTTCTTGCCCCTCATTCCTGGGGACCCAGGTCTCATGCCAACAGGGCGGCAGGAAAGGCGGTCTTGCTGCCCCCAAGCAGAACCAGTGGCAGGAAAGTTCTCCGTCTGGGCTTGCAGGTGGGAGAACGCGCTTGCGCACAGCTACAGTTTGGCCACCAGCTGGGCTGGGGAGAAAGGAATAGCTGATTGTATCTCTAATATTCTGCCCAGATGGAAGGAGGGGATGAATGTCATTACCTGGGGCCCATCCTGGAGCCTGGGGCCTATCCTGGAGCCTGGGGCCTGGGACACCACCGCAGTGTGGGGAGGGGAGGAGGGACGGCAGGCCCTAGGGTTTGAAGGGGCAGTTCGGAGGTGTCATGGGGTGCAGTCTCGATCGTACTGGGGAGCCCTTGGGGTGTCAATGGGGCAGGTATTGTGATACCATTAATCGGCCTCCTGAGAGTCACTATCATAAGATGATCTGGGCTGGCCTGAGGCCCCTCCTATGGGCGGGACTTGACCTCCGAGCCCCGCCCCCCACCTGCTCCACTCTACAGAGAAGGTCCCACCCCAGCCCAGAGGGCTGTAAAACCCGGACAGCAACTGTACCTCTGCCCCAGACCCGGGCCGCTGCTAGACCCCGACTCAGCCTCCGTCTCACCCGGCCACCTTCAGGGCCCTTAGTCCTGCCGGGACCCAGACTCCCCACTTGCATCCCCACCCCAGCCTCAGCTTCAGTCCACACCCCGCCTCCTGGCCCTCACCATTAAACTCACTCCAGACCCAGATTATCCCGAGTGAGGACTGATCACCTCCCCACATTAAGGCCGGGTCCCCACAGAGTTGGTTCCCGAGTGAGTGGAATGGATTTCTCTGTGTGAGACCCGTCCAGTGAACCAACAAAACACACGTTCCCATTTTCACTGGGTTTCTCAAAACAAATGCTCAGACGCTGGCAACAGCCTAAAAGCGGTTGCCATGGAACCGGAGGTAGCCAATGGGAGGGGGGGGGCGGTGCCAGGGCCTCGGGAGCCAAAGCCTGCTGCCAGCTCTGATGCTGACCAAAGAAACTAGCAGGATTGGGAGGGGCTGCGTGGGTCACACTTGGCTGGAGCAGGACGGAGAGTTGTGATTCATCATCCAGGAGGCCCCAACTAGTGCAGGGGGCCCCCCAGAGGACCTGGAGCAGGCAGCTATCAAAGCTGTCCTGCAGCTGGTCTTCCTGCCCAGAACATGAGAGCCGCGAGTGACAAGAAGGCCAAGGGCGCCCTGGTAGAGTTTCTGGAGGACATTAACCATACCACCATTCCCAAGGAGATTCCGGACAAGGATGGCGTCTGGAGGACTCTGTACAAGGATTGCTCCAAGGACATGAGTGCCCTGAGGCAGATGAAATGATAGCTGCTGGTTGGAAGGCCCCACAAGCTACAGAGGCCAGAGCCCCCGGGGACACCCCTCCTAATTAGAAGACCCAGGTCCCCCTTCCTGGTGCAGCCAGCAAGGCTAGCATGGTAGTAAGCTGAGGGTCACAGAAATAGAGCCAGAGGCCAAAAAAGGAGCCGAGGAGGGCAGCCATGTGCCTCTGCAGAAAGTGATTCGAAGGACCCTTCTTCCATCAGAGCCTGCATCAGGATGGCAGAGGTGGAAGAGGAGGACTTGGGTGGGGACAAATGACAAGGACAGTCCCCGAGTGTTGTGCTGCACACAACACTCCAGACGGGCTGCAAGGAAGGCCTGCAGAGACATGAATGAGGCAGAGGGTCCCCATAGAGTTCTTGGCCATGTGACTCTTTTGGACAAAACCAAGAAGGAGGTGACAGAGAAAGAGCACCTTGGTTTGATGAGCCTGTCCGTCAGAGGAGCCAGGAGCGACATCCCGACCTGGTGGCTCCTGTGGTCGAGAGGGACACGCCTGATGAGATGCTCGAGGTCAGTGGCTCTGCTGGAGGTTGGTCCTAGAAGTGAGACGGCCAGGTCACCCAGAAGGATGTGGAGGACCCCAAGCTCTAGCCACCGTGGCCCATGGGATTTCATCAGACACCAAAACTCGCAGGGAGGTGTTGAAAATGGCTTCTGTGATGGAGTCGCTGGGCTGAAGGACAAGGAAGACAAGAGACCCTGCTCCAGGTCCTGCTCCAGGTCCTGTCCGTCATGGCCCAGGACACCTCCGAACCGCATGAAGGTGGAGGAGGCAGGCCGCCAGGTGGCCTCCGTGGTCCTGAGGAATGCCTGAAACGTTAGGGAACCTGCTGGAAGGCATCTCCACCAGGGCTGAGCCCCAGACCCCCTCCAAGGGCAAGAAGGCTCCCTGGGGCCCGCTGGGGAGCTGGGGGGCGCGGGATGAGGAGGAAGATGGGGGAGGGGCTGCTGGAGCTCGCGGCGCTCCCGGAGACCTAGGACGTGGCTGAGGTGATGGAGGGGAAAAAAGGAAAAGGCCTGGGAGGGCGGGAGGTCGATATTCTCCAAAGGCCACCTGGGGGAGGTCTTGGCGCTGCAGGCCGCCCGCGGGAACCGGTAGTCGGAGGAGGCGTCGGAGGGGGTTTGGGACACAGGCTCGGAGGAGGCGTCGGAGGGCGCGGAGAGCGAGGAGTCCGAGTCCGAGGACCCGGCGGCCAGGAAACCCCTGGCCCAAGCGGGCCCGCGCGGCCTGCAGGGCCCTGGGTCGAGCAGGCGGCTTCAGCTCCCGCCCCGTCAGGGACCCGCAAAGCCCGAGAGGAGGGGAGCGGCGGCCGAGGCTGGAGGGGCGCCCTCCCGAGACGAAAACCCAGGAGGAAGCGGCGGGAAGCAAGAGCAGGAAGGAGCGCGCGGGAGCCGGGACGCAGGCCGAGGCCGGCCCAGGGCTCAGCCGCCCGCGGCCTCCAAGTCGGCGCGTGGGAAGAAGACGGGTTGGGGCAGGAGGCTGCACCCCATGGGCCCCGAGGGGGCGAGGCTGCAGCTGCCGGTGCGGCCCCAGCTCCGAGGGTCCTCCGCCCTCCCCGCCGCGGAGGTGACTCCGGTCGAATCATGCACTCCCAGCTCTTCTCTGCGCGCCGCCCTCCGCTCGCTCTCTGGTCCTTTCAGTCCCTGCTTTGCAGGTGGCGCGAGCGATCCTGATGCAAGAAGAATGTAAGGTGTAATGAGGGCCCGCGGAGGCAGCAGCCCCAGGTGACGGGACGGTCTCAGGGCCCACCCAGGCGGCTTGGCTTTGGGTCTCCCGGCTTAGCACAGGGGCGAGTGTGTCCGTGGACACCGGGCACCGGGGGAGGCCAGCAGTGCCGGGGCGTTCTTCCATATCTCCCTGGAGCCCTGGTTCGTTCCAGACTCATGCTTTTGGCCAGCGTCCGCCACCCCAGTCTGATGGGGGCTGGTCTGTGTGATGGAGGTTCCAACGAACAAGGAGAGTGTCAGGGTGCAGCTGAGCCAGGAAGCTGAACCTCCTGCTGGGGGAGGAGAGGATTCCAGGAAGAGAAGCCTGAGAGGCAGAGGGGTGTGCTCCTGGGGGAGGGGAGAAGAGGTGGGGGAGGGGGAGGGAGGGGTGGCGACCAGGGGACCAGGGGCAGGGGAGGAGGAGAAGGAGGAGAGGGAAAGACCCTGCCCATCTGAAGTGCAGCTGGTACAAACGCACCACCTTCTCAGGGCCAAGGCCTCCTGCTGGTGTCCACAGGCTGAATCTGACACTCGACCTGCCTAGTGTTTAACAGAAATCCTAATTATTTGCAAAGATTTTCAATTCAGAGCAGTTCATGAAAAATCCAGATTTCCAGGTTTTCTCAGTAGCAATGATGGGCATCATCCTTCCCACAGGTCTGTGGGTCCCTCGGCTGGCTGTCCACTGTGCCACCACCCCCAGCACTGATCTTGTAGCCCCTGACTTAAGATGACAATTTAAGGTGATAGGTTTCCCCAGTTCAGCATCTGGGTGAATTAAATGCCAGAAGGGACCCTTAGCAGGGACTTGTGAGGGGCTGAGGCTGGTCTGGGCCAGTGCTGAAGCTGCCCCAGGGCCCATCTTTAGGAGGGCAGGAAATGTCCCCAGGAGGGAGTCGCAGCCTGGCCCTAGAGTCCACCCAGGTAACCCGGCCTGGCTCTGCAGAACATCAGCACGCACTGTCTCAAGTGCAGATGCTTCTGGGTTGGAAGAAGCATCCCTGTAGTGACATTGGCACCAGCCCCTACTGCCCAGTGCAATGTTCTCCCTGAATCACCATCTCCATCTCTGCTCTTCCAGGTCCTCTTGTCCTGCAGCCATCTGTGTATCTGTGACCAAGACCCCATCCCCAGGAGGTCAGGAGGCACCCCCCACCCCTGCACATCTTGAGGGAGGCACAAAGGCCTGGGTGTGTCCCCACAGCCCAGCTGGACTGTCCGAGCCCCTCCTTGGATACCCAGGGACAGAAGCCAACTTGGGAGTTGCTGTTTGGGTCATGCTGGGAGATGGGACCCCCTCTGGGCTGCAGGAACCTTCCTGGGACAGCAAGTTTGGGGATCGGGCTGTCCTCAGCTGAGCCCCTCAACTGCCACTGACTATGGGGGCGACATTGGCCCTTACCTCCCTGAGCCTCAACGTCCTCATCTGTAAAATTCAACCTCAGATGTTCTTATGAAGTTTAGATGTGATCGTTCAAGAAAAATATTTGGTACAGCTCCAGGTACGAAGTATTCCATGGACAGAGGAGACTGGTGGGCAAAGAGTCGGACACGACTGAGTGACTGACACTTTCACTTTTTCACATGCAGGAGGTAAACATAAGCCTTGGCTTTGTGGTTGTTAGGAGCCAGAGGAATAGGATGGGGACTCTGTGTGGAGCGCCCTCTGCTGGACGATGGTGACACAACAGCAGGCCTGCCCAGACCAGGGACCACTCTCCATCTCAGAACCTCTTGAAAAAAATTATGGAATGGTGATGCCAACACCGTGAAGAGGCTATTTGAGAACTGATTGAGCTAATGCGTATAAAATTACTAGATTAATGTGATGAACTAAAGGTAAATACAAATTCCTTATCTGGTGGCCTCCCCATCTGGAGGTGGAGTTTATTAAGAAGGAAGTGGTGGTGACATTAAGGCTGCCAGCTTCTGCTCTTGGAACACTTGCTCTTGGGAAAGTGTCTTGGAAAACCCAGCTGCTAAGTTTTGGGAAGCCTAAGCCACATGGAGAGGTCGTGGGCAGATGCTGCAGTTGACCATTCCAGCTGAAGCACTGAGAGTTTGTACACTCCTTATCTACACTATACCATTTGATGGAGGGTAAAGAATCCCACCCAGAACAGATCTCTTGTAGCAGAAGATTTAGATCTAATGGCTGAAAGAATCAAATACTGCCGCGTGCTAAGTCACTGCAGTCGTGTGTGACTCTTTGCAACCCCATGGACTGTAGCCCGCCAGACTCCACTGTCCATGGGATTCTCCAGGCAAGAATATTGGAGTGGGTTGCCATGCCCCCCTCCAGGGGATCTTCCTGACCCAGGGATTGAACCTGTGTCTCCTTCATTGGCAGGTGGGTTCTTTACTTTTAGCGCCACCTGGGAAGCCCAATTAAATACTACATATTTGTGATTTGGGCTTACTATGCCACCAGGAAAGTGAACAAATCTGAAGCCTTTGGGGAACAGTTCAGGGAAGGACTTCACAGGATAAATAGGAAGCATGTACAGAGAATTCATAGAACCGTCGACAGAAAACTTGGGTGCTATGCATGTGATGAATGACTCATCTTTTCATGGAATTTTTTTAATCCAGGGTTTTTTTTTTTTTGGACAGCACCACAGCATGTGGGATCTTAGTTCTCCGACTAGGAATCAAACCCATGCCCCCTGCAGTGGAAGTGCAGAATCCTAACCACTGGACCATCAGGGTATTCCTGGAAATTAAAAAAAAAATAAGTCTCAAGTACTTAGATTCTGAATCGATTACAACTAGGATTGAAACCATTGGCCGCAAGTTTCAAAGGTGCTGATGGGGGGACTTACCTGGTGGTCCAGTGGTTAAGAATCCACCTTCCAATGCAGGGGACGTGTGTTGGATCACTGGTGCGGAAACCAAGATTCCACATGCGTTGAGGCGAGTAAGCCTACACCCTGTATTAAGACCCAAGGCAACTAAATAAATTAATTAAAATTAAAAAATTTTTAGAAGTGCTGATGGGTGCATTTATTTGCTTGGGCTGCCAGAACAAAGTCCCACAGCCTAGGTGGCTGAAACAACAGAAATTAATTTTTCTCACAATTCTGAAGGCCAGGAGTCTGAGATTGAGCTGTCAGCGGGGGCTGGTTTCTTCTGAGGCTGCTCTCCTTGCCTTGCCTTGGTCCTCATAAGCTGTGCCCTGTGTATGTGTCCGTGTCCTAATTTCCTGTTCTTATACCTCCAGTCCTATCGGATTAGGACCTGGTAATCCAATTTAAGCTCATTTTAACATAATCGCCTCTCTAAGCATCCTATCTCCAAATACAGTCACATTCTGAGGTGCTGGGGTTAGTATTTCAACATATGAATTTGGGGAATGATGCAAGTCAGCACATAACAATAATAAACTTGGGCCTGGAGAGACTGTTTTGGTTTTATTTTTTTTTGGGGGGGTGCATACCATGAGGCATAAGGGATCTTAGTTCCCCAACCAGGGACTGAACCCACACCCCCCTGCATTGGAAGCACAGAGTCTTAACCACCGGACAACAAGGGAAGTCCCCTGGAGAGACTGTTGACACAAATATTTCCCAGACAGGTGGGGGAAGGTTCTGATTAGGTTTCAAGAATGTAAGATCCAAACAAACAGGAACCAGTGCCCGACTGTTCACTGCTGTGTCCCCATCGCCTTGAACTGTGTGTGGCACAGAGGAGGTTAGTTGAATGAATGAATGAATGAGAAGATTGCCTATCAGAGGCCACTTTAACCCCACTGGTTTTGGGTTGATCTCTTCTGAAATGTAACTTCACCCTGCGGTCATAATTCCTACAAAGTATGTTCTAAATGTTGGGGGTGGGAAATTTTATTTATCCATTGCATGTTTTTAAAATAGGAAGTAAAGCTCATTGCTCTAGCTGCAAATATTTAACTCCCTGACGAAAACATCACTGATCCTGTTATAATTAACTCACTTTGTCCAGAAAGTGGGGAGTCTCCTGGCGTTAAGAAATGGATGTGTGCTTTTTTTCTCCTTTTATAAGTTTATGCAAATAAAAGGAAAATAAGGTTATAGCAGCTTCATCTTCACATCAGCTACCTGGTCTCTGTGGATATTTGAGCTTGGGAGCCTTGCTCTAGCATAATCTGGGAAGGAACATGGATCAGCCTGGTGTGTCTTGGCTACAAGTTACAGATAACCAAACTGACAGCAGACATAAACAATAAGCTTTTTTTCTCAGCTTTTTAATTAAAACTTTGGAGGAAAGAGTCTTTTGGATTTAATTAATCAAGCATGTTACTGAGAACCAAGAATCTATTCCTCCATTTGTTGGCTTGTTGCCTTATGGTTACAAAATGGCTGCCAAACTCCAGACATCACCTTCTCACACAACAGGCAAAAAAGCAGGGAGGTAGGTGTGATGACACAGTCTTTTCCTCTCATGCCTCTCCTCTTTTATCCAGCAGCAAAAAATAATTCCCCAAAGCTTCCAGCACACTCATTGCCCAGAACTAGGTTACCACATACCAGTAGCTGCAAGTAGGTCTGGAAAACAGTGGAGCTGACCTTTTTAGCTATTATCAGTTCAGTTCAGTTCAGCCGCTCAGTCGTGTCTGACTCTTTGCGACCCCATGGACTGCAGCACGCCAGGCCTCCTTGTCCATCACCTATTATAGTATCATAGCAATACATGGGAAGAGGTTGGAAGTGATTGTCAGATTATCCAATCAACATTATTAATGACAGAGGTGAATTCATGCACAGTGCAAAAATAATTTTTAAACAGTAAAAGAAAGAGAGAGAGATAAAGATGTCCCTTCTCTCCTGCACTTTCAATGAGAGGGATTCTATTTTTCATCATAAATCCTTCTAAAGAACCAACTTCAGACAAGGGAACTCCCTGGCAGTCCAGTGGTTAGGACTCTGCGCTTTCACTGTCAAGGACACTGGTCAGCGAACCAATATCCCCACAAGCCACCTGGTGCAGCCAAAAGACAATACATCAATC